TCAAGAAATGTACTCCTAGAATTGACAACTAAAGTTCTCCCAAGAGTACTCTATTCTCTTTATCCGAATCACATGGATTCATTAATGAAGTTATTAGTAATAAAATAAATTGAAGCAGTTCTCCGTATTAATAAAAATAAATTGATGATAAGATGTTGATCTTTTATCATGGGTAGAAATATAATCTAAAGTGAAAATAACCTTTGCTGTACGTTTTCTTCACCGGAGAACATTGTGCCTGTGGTGGCTAGAAGGCTTCTTGAACAATATTCTCAGGTCTGATTGTAAGGGAAAACGCAACAAGTATTCAATTCATTACACCTACAACTACTACTGTCTCTCCGCAACATTTTGATCCATCCTAAGGTTGCCTGGAATAAATCTATCTTAGCAATAAGGCCGCCCATTGTACATTAAATGTCTGATATTTTCATGTACCATACTAATTGTAAATTGGTGTAAAAATAAAGAATTTTCTATCCATCTATCTACAGAGTAAAAATTGATGTCGACTTCTTGTTTCATGTCTTGAAAATGGAGATGGGTTCTCCTCAAAGTAAACCTGACCGACTCAAATGTCAGTCAGTAACTACCGAATATCTCTTGAAATTCAGCAAATCTGTCCTCATTTGAAAGTTATGAAATCTCTGAATACAAAAAGCTCTCTAAATACGTTATTTGATCATTGTTTTGTTCAAATTATGCTTATTGGTAAGGATGATTTCTATTATAACGATCCAATTATGAGCCATGCAATGTCTGGGTACGGAGTGGTATTTTTTATGGGGGAAGTTTACAGACTACTGACTCCTATGTCCATCTTCAGCTCAAGACTCACAAGTGCGTTACCACTTTTGAGTGTGTGTATGTATGTGCCAGAAACACTCCGAAGAAATGCTTAAAACACTTTATATGAAAAGGCAAATTAAAAAAGTAATTAAAAATTATGAAACACATTATTATGACCGTTACTTATCATCATAATTATCATCAGCCTATCGCAGTCCACTGCTCAACATAGGTTTCTCCCATTGCATACCACTTAAATCGATTTTCGGCTTCTCGCATTCAGGTCCTGCCAGCCATCTTGGGCAGATCGTCACTCCACCCGGCGTCCTAGGTACAATTTGTTTGCCTAGACGCGGCATTTAATTTTACTACCCATCATTTTCCAGACCAAATTAAATTATGCTATCCTAATCCTTAAAGCGATTTTAATAGATTCTTAAAACATAAAAGTACGATACGAATTCCATAAAGAATTTTATGTTTCAGTTGTCAGCCTGGTTTAATAGTACATAATGTGAATATTAAAAAAGTTCTAATAAAACAAGTTACAAGCTAATATTTAAATAAGAAATACATTTTCATTTGATGAGAAGTTAAATTCAAATTATATCTATTGAATACTGGCTCTTTGAAAATTAATTTTTAAAGTCAATAAGAACTTAGGTTTTAATTTGCCGTCTTGTTAAGGAGTGGTTGTAAATTGGCGACACTAATATTTTTAAACGGTTGAGGAATAATTCAATAGGTTTTACAACTTTTAGTTACACTTATTAGAGATAACTTGTCTTTTACGTTCTGTATCTGTATCTGCGTTTTATTTGAATTTTTCCAGCACTGATCTCAAGTGTGGTGACATCGAATTGTAGTAAGGACAGTTTTTTCTTTTTTTTTTGACCAGTTAATCTTTGAGACTAACCCAGGACTACCAATAACACATATGCGCGATAGGTCAAGCATTGATTTAGTTGAATGTCTGCGACAACAAGCTAAGCGGAGCAGTATGTATTTAACTGACATTTTTTTATTGATAATAGTGATTGTAAAAGGATTGTTAAATTATATTGAGCTTTTTTCTGCTGAGAAATTTATCGTACAACGGAAGTCGCAAGACAAAAAAATGAAGTAGACTCGGTTTAAAACTGGTGGGAAACTAATTTAACTTAAATTATGTCAACTGTAGGTCAGGTTCTATTTGCGCTTGAGCTGCTTTCTTGCTAAGTCACTAAAGTAGCCATTTATTACTTTGCACTTCTTAAAAGAATGAGACTTTATTAATGGTTCTAAGAACTGTGAAGTTTTCTATTTACAGTAAGCAACTATGTAGGAATGTATTTCCGAGTTCACCATTAGACAATGTACATGCTTTATGTTATTTTATTTTATTTGAAAAACAAACAGTATTTAAAACTTAATGACTGCATCATGTATCGACGAAGAGCAAATAATGTAGCTAAATACCAATTACATGTTTTCACATTTAAATAACTATCAAGAATTGTTTGTTAAAAAAAAACTACTTAAATGTATTTTCCTCCTTTCTTTTTTAGTACTATGTATACTATAAAATATTCTATTCCATATAAGTAGTTTTAAAGCATACATTATAAGCATTTTTAAAAAGACAACTCCTGCATTGGAATTATATCCAGTGTCGCGGGGGACTTTACAAACATACATGAAACGGACACAAAGAACACCCTGACTCAGAACAACAATTTGTGGATCACACGAAGTGTCGCCCCATCTGGGGATCGGTCCCACAATACTTAGCGTAGTAAACCGTGACGTCTAAGTTGTGTAGTGTATATTTCAGTTGATTACTTATGTAACCTCTATGCGCATACCTTATACGATTTCTACACCATCCAAAGGTTGACTGGAAGAGAATGATTTGGGCATTAAGTCAATTCTTTCGTTGCCTTTCACGGAGTGAGTGTGGTTACCGGAGCCCAAATCCTACCTCCCGCTGCCTCGAGCGAGAGGGACTCCAAGGGCAGCAACGCACTTGTGACTTTTGAGTTGCTCTCCCGATCCCGTTCAGCGGTCTCTTTCTGAAGCATTACAGCTTCACAGAAAGAGACCACTGCGCCCCAGCCCTCCTGACCTGCCAGAATGGCAGCATCAATTGCTGGCGGGGACAGGTCTTGTCCGATTTGGTCGACCAGGACATCGCGTTCCGATGCCCACGCGGGGCAGTCTTCCAGCGTATTCCGCGGTTGCTTCAGCCGCGAGCGCCACTGCACCAGTACCTGCCGGTGAGCGTTCCGCCGCATTTTCTCCTGGTCTTCCCCACTCTCACCCCGGCGGATCGCGCGAGTCCGGTCATAGACCCTCGCGTCCATATCCGCCAGTATATCAAAAGGCGGGAAACGTGCCAGGACTGTTGCCGCCTCCGACGAAATGGTGCGGTAACCCCGTAGGATCCGAATGGCCGCTGCCCGCTGCACTTTATTGAGTTTATCTCGGCAGCGGGAGGACGCCGATAGGCGCTTGGCCCATATCGGCGCTCCGTAGAGGGCCATGGATCGTATCAGGAACAGGCTAGGCCTAGTATATCAGACGGTCGTTTGTATGTGTTAAGTTATTATTATAATAGTAAAGGTTAATCTTTCATAAATTCAGTACAGTCATGCTAATGGATGCATTTTGTTTTAGTAATATGAACATGTATGTATGCACTGACAGCTTTGAAAACGTGGATAAAATAAGTCTGCAGTAAAAATGTAAGCATTCAAACGTGACAACAAAAAAACAATTCTTTATCCGCAAGCCTCGTGTGCTCTAACTCTATGTACTCTAACAACGCACCTTTTGTGCCTTAATTGGATTATTCTGGATTAAACCGCTTCGAACTGAATCAGGGCTTTTAAAATTTTTCAATCCCATGTCGACAAAGGCCGACAAATTAAAACTATAGCGGTAAATCCGTTCCGTAACAGGATTAGTGATAATAAAGCCCTGTTACATAACGGTATAAATTGTTAAGCAAATAACTTTAGAATTTTATACTTCCGTAATACTCGTAAACATGATACATGTTGTATTCCTATTTCGTTAGAGGTTTTACTCACATGTGTTATCAGGCGTTACACTGAATCTGGTGTAACGCTTTTTTCGTTGAAATAGAATCCCCGTCAGGTACGAAACTAATCAGAGATCCTCGAAATACACACGTGAGCACAAACACTATGAATTTTATTAAACTGTGTATTTTGAAGAAAATTCATTAGTTAAAGACTTTTAAAGGGGTCAAAATTTAATTTAAAAGATTTTAAAAATATCAGTTATAATACTAAAATTAAAAGCCTAGAATGTGTCAATGTATAAATAGACAATATTTTCATTATTTAAATTTTAAGATTTGGTGGATATTACTAATTTGACTTCTGTTGTGTATGACTTTGAAACGATTTAAAGTCCTTCAAAAGTTTTTAATTGAAACTGAATATTCTTTAAAAATTGTAGACTATTTATTTAACAAAATAACGATAATCTAAATCCCACAAAAGAAAGCCCTGGGAGAGCCACACTTCAGCATAAATGGACCGGCTCCACGTTAGTGATACCACATCCTTACAGACACCCGGTATTTCGACTGCCTCGGTGGTAGCGTATTGCTGCACTGAGGCCTCGGGTTCGATTCCCGGGTCGGAACAAATCTTTGTATAATCTGCAAATATTTGATCCGAGTTTGGGTGTTTTCTATGTATAATATGTATACATTTACAAAAAAAAACGTATTCTATTAGTCAATCTAGCTTTTATAGTAAAAGCTCTGCTTAGATTGAAACTAGATGGCGTTGTGTGTCAGATGTCTGAAAAATTATTATTTTGTTGCTTTTAACCGAACAAGTGAGGTTAGCGGAGCTCAAAACTCCATACCATAACTAGTGATTATGGACCCCCATAATCAAAGGGCACCAAAGCACTTGTGGCTCTTGAGATGCAGGTGTTCACGGTGGTACTCACTTGGTGGTGGTACAAGGTCTGAAAATGGACCATGGTACATAGTATTATTTCGTTGAAATTTAAACTAATGAGACACACACACACACAGCACATATCAAACCTTTGGTCATCAAAGAAGAAGTTGATGTGACAGTTTTCCATAAAGTATGTTGTCACTTACTAGTCTATGGTAATAAGTTTGAATGTCAATCAGATGCCAAATTATAAATACAAATCAACAACTTTAGGTAAAAATAACCAAAATGTCTGGTATATACACTCTGCCTACTGTGAAATCATTTTTTGGGTTAGATTTACGGACTGGTTCTATGATGATTGCAGCAATCAGCATTGTAAGTACAATAAAGCCAGTTTGAATTCGGTATCTAAAACAAATTAAAAAAGTTTGAAAAGCTGCTCTTGGAGCTATAGTTGATATTGCTGTGTGGTACTCCTATAATCACTTTTCTACTATTTATCCTGATTTTTACCAGTTTTTATGAGTTTTAATGTTTTGCTAACAGACGTCTAGTCCAATCTTTGGATGTAGTACGTAGGACTGAAAACTGACTGACTTTAAACGTAGATTTATTTGCATTAGTTTGGATTAATAAATTGTGATACTTAAGAATAACTTTAACAAATTAGGTTTTACGTGTTATTGTATCATTTTAAATGTTAATATTTATTCCCATGATGGAAATTATGACTACATGTTGTCCAACAGCAATCCTTAATTATTCAAGTTAGACGGGCATTTCACATTATATTTTGCGGACTTAATGGTGATGTAGCCTTTTCTATAAGTCCACCTTCACGATTATTCAGCGAGGAATATGACAGGTGTGTAGGAAACGGCAATGTAAATAAGCTGATTGAATGCTCTATAATATTATAAATCTCCCAAGGAGCAAAGGACACACACAGTTAGTTAGCAAAAGATATAAATAATTTCGTATCCGTTTTAATAACACCTTGCAGACTGTTCTAGAAAAAGTAAAAAGATTTATCATATTTTTGTTTTGATATAATTTTTGAAGTTTGATTTGATTTAATTCACTAATGTTTCAATAGAGAATGTTTGTCCAAAGTTTATTTAAAGTATGAAATAATAACGGGCGGAACTCAAAGCGTCAACCTCTGGCATAGCTGTCAGGACAGCAATAATAACCCATGTTAATTATATTGAATTATTAGCGCGGTATTTGAGGCCCCGTTTGAAATAATAACGCGAAGCTCGGTATCAACTTCAATGTTAATTATACCTACACTAATATTTGCTGAAATGTTTCGTCAATAAATACATTGTAACAATACCATTACAATATTTTAAAATTAATGATTTATTTTGATTAAACAATGAGATCTCCTAATTTGAAACTCAATAACTAATTTCAAACCCATTATTATTAGTGACCAACGAACCTAAAGAGACGGATAAGTATCTAACACAGTCCAGCACATAAAAATCTGCCTATTGTGACACAATTGACCATGATGAAAGGACTTTGCGAATTAGCTCAATATCAGTGAATGTTATGTCATCTATTCGGTTTTTAATGAATGTTAAAGGTTAATGTGCAGACGGGTCCTCTGATGGAAAGTGACTTCCGCGATTTCTGCCATCTATAGACGCCTGAAACTAAGGAGTTACAAGTACGTTACCAGCCTTTGACGTGGGAGTAAAATGTTTCACCAAGTTCTAAAAAAAAAGCATTTGACCTTGACATATTTTTTTTGAAGCAAACTGCAAGAAATCGTCTTCAAAGGTCTACATAATTTTCATGCCTTTATTTGTCACATTTTAATACCCTGATTTAAAATACCCTGCAAAATTATCGTCAGATTTTTGGCAAGCCTGACAGGAACATTAAGCTGAACCGTCTGTATAAAATATAACACGATCGGGTATATAGAAAGGGCGATGTTTTGAATTTGCAGTTTGCATTTTCGGTAATTCGCTACGAGTTTGTCACTTCACGTCATACTTTTCATTAGGAGCATTTTCGGCATCCAAATAACATATCCCCAATATGCGCCCTGATGCGCCCGAATATCTTTTTTTTCAATTTTACATTTTTGACACTTTGCCGCCATTTGAGACCCTCTTGAATCATCGGGAGGAGGTTTGAGGACCGGTAACCTAACTTACTCAGTGATAAGCTACTAAAGAATTCCTTAACTCCGGTTTACCGTGAAGCCGTGACACATCACAGACTCTCCCACGAATATTTTTATTATTGCCTATCAGGCCTGTTGGACTAGTGGTTAGTGACCCTGTCTGCTAAGCCGGCGGTCGTAGGTTCGATTCCGCCCCAGAACAAATATTTCTGTTATGAGCATGATCGTTTATGTACGTAAATATGTATTGTATGTATTTATGTATTTAGAAATATATAAGTATGTTTATCAGCAGTCTGGTTACCATAGTACAGGCTCTGCCTAGTTTGTGATCACATAGCTGTGTGTGAGATGTGTTAGGTTATTATCATTATTATTTAGAAAAAAGATTTCTTAGTGCCTTTTATCAAATAAGTATTTCTCCTCTTTGCTCTTTTTTTTTGTACGGAATGAATCATATTCATGATCACTATTCAATTCGTTTTATTCAAATCTGATACTTGATAAGTATTAGTTGTGTGATAACCTTTATACGGTAGGCTTATTTTGTGAATAAAATTTCTTTATCAGTCTCGATTGAAAAGAAAATGTGGTATCTGTATGTATATTGCTTATTTATACCTTTAATGTAATAGAGCTTAATGATTTCTACATTAGAACAGAAATTACTTCATTAACTTTGTTTAGATGTATTTTCTGAGTCTGAATTCTAGTCTTATTGTATCATATTATACCTACTGTGAGCGCGAACAAAACATTTTCTTAGCTCTTAAATTTAATTATAATTAATGGAATTATTTATTATTAATGTTACGTAGTGGTAATTTCCACTTAATTGCTATTTACCTCTTTGATTAGACAGACACTGGTCGGAATTTTTAGGTGTCTCAAGTTTTAAGCAACAACTAATTAATTTTCTAATTAATTACAGTGAAGAAAACACATTTAAAATACATTTCTCTGTCGTATAATGTTCAAGTTTTTTTCGATCTAAAAATAACAGGTTGATATAACGATGTGCATAAATATATTTATAAATGTTAAGTTGGTTTGTGTACGCTTGAGAAACTCACAAGTTCTGCACCGATTGAGTTCGTATTTTAACGCGATAAACAAACCGCTTCAAATATTGTTTTTGTATATTTTTCATAAACAAATAAATTATTTTTAAACCCAATATTATTTTGTTCTTTATTTTTAATTTATTTTTAAACCTCCTTTCTAAGGAGAGGCCTATGTCCAGCAGTGGACTGTTAAAGGCTGTTGATGATGATGATGATGATGATATTTTTCATGTCGGTATTGTTCCTCATTTCTCATCAATGCAAGCACAATGTGAAACAGCGAATCGTGACAGTGTACAGCTAGTTATAAATCATTTCCAAAAAACTATATAAGCACAGTAAATCCAAAACGAGTTTATTCAGAATTTTAAAATTTCGGTCCCCTATATGTCTATATGCTTGTTTCGCGCATCACGTTAAACAGAAATTGAAGTGCGATTTCCACAGCTCTATTGTTATAGACTTAACTGAAATCTTGTTCGAGTTTCATATTGAAACGCCGCCTACAGGAAGACTTATAAATGTTGTTTCCATAACTTATTAATCTTGTGGATTGGAGTTGAAGTATCTACTGGGGATGTAACTCCACTTCACAAGACACCGCGTTCAAGCAGGCAATTGTTAATGTTTTAGTGGCCTATGCCGTATCTAATTGTAAATAATTTTCCAATAGCTCGTTTTTTTTCAAATACTACAAGGTTATAGTTTGTTTCAGATACATCCAATGGCATATGGATGTACATTCTTCACGCCAATGAGTTACCTCCTACTGACAATATGGATTTTAGTCGCCTTGTATTTTGCAGCCAGTGTCGCCTTGCTCTTCGGTCTTATTTACGTAATACGATTTTTCTATTATTTTTTTTCTATTATTTCCTTTACTTTCTATTATTTACTTTACTATTATTTGGTTATCTATTTAAGACATCAGCTGTTATCGAAAAAGGATCAACGTCATAAACTAAACTTAATACATCTTGAATGCAAATTTAAAATCACTTTCGAATTTATTCAAATTCAAAGTGAATGAGTTCAAAGTGACGACCGAATGGCGTAGAGGTTAGCGTAACGGACTGCTATTCTAAAGGTCGCGGGTTTGATTCCCGCTCAAGTCAAACATTTGTGTGCATGAACATTTAATGTTTGATTTGGTCTGGGTATTTCTATGTATAATATTTACGTATGTACAAAAAAAAGTATATATGTATTTATATCAGTTGTCTAATACCCATAGTACAAGCTCTGCTTAGTTTGGGACTAGATGGCGTTGTGTTAAAGTGCAAAAAAAAAAAAACTTTCGAATTCATGAAAATAACTAGCTTAAAAAATCACTTTAGGTTAAAGCTTCTATCAAGTATTTCAGTGCCTGTCAAGCTATTGAGAGTTATGTATAGTGTTAGAGAGCTCGAATTTCCTGGCATCAGCTAGTTTGAACTAGGGTTCAAGTAGCATATCTATAACTAGAGTTATAGGTATGCGACCTTTGACCTGCTCGAACAATTAGTTAGGAAGGTGTTAAAGAAGGTCTGGAACTTTTTTCTGACTTTTTCTTTTTGATATACTCCAATTTCCTTATCCAGGATTCCCGAATTGCCTGCAATTAGTTAAAGCAATCTTTCTATTTGTTTTAGGGAGATAAAGTACTATGTGACATCTGGATATCGTACTCGCTAATTTTCGTGGCAATAATGCTGTTCTTAATGATATTGCTCGCTATCGTTTTTGCATCAAGAAGACAGAGGAGCAGGGTCTTCATAGTCATTTTAGGAATGCTTTATTACATATGTAAGTATCATACATATTATAGTGGTTGATGCGGTCGCCACGCTGCTTGAATTATTTGCCAAGGAAAGACATGTGAAACCTTCACAATAGCTTGCCTAACATGTGTATTTCATGAAGCTAATGATATTCATCTCATTCTGGGATAACCTTATCTGAATGAAAAGGGGATTCGACCATACAATGGGCCGGGGTTAAGGAGCATCGTTGATGTTTGTTTGGATTAGTTTTATCATTGGAAACCATAGAAATCAACTTATACTCTTTGTTTATGTTTCGTTTCAGTAACAATCTACTTCATAATCGTGGTAAATAGTCAAAGTGAAAATGTTGGTAAGGTTAATAGAAAAAAATTATAAAAAAAAACCTGTTTTTTCTTGTTTTATTTACTCTTTCTATGTTTTATACTTAACCCCGTCTGGCCAGCGTGGTGTAGTAGGCCAAAACCTCCATTCTAAGGAGAGGCCTATGTTCAACATCAACAGCTTTTGTCCAGCAGTGAACTACCACTGCTGGACAAAAGCTGTTGATGTTAAACATTTAATTTGCATGCAAAGATTGCATTGGCAGGCGATGTAAATACCAGCACGCTAAAACTTTGCCTCCAGGTCCCTTAAAAGAGCCATTACTAGGGCGAAATCGGAGCACATCAGCCGGATCGGTAAGAGACTAGTGAGACTTCCTTCTGGAACTCGTGCATTCTGGTCTCTTGCCAAGGCTGTCCAGGGGAATTTCTGTATCCAATCCTTTCCACCCCTGCATATAGGAAATAATTTGTTGGCCTATGATGCCAAGGAGAAAGCTGATCTCCTAGGCAAATTCTTTGGATGACGGGGGAAACGTACCGCCGACCATACCGCGGTACCAGAGCTATATGCCGGATATCCGGTTCACACAAAAATCAGTGAGTAAAGCACTCTTTTCCCTCGACATTCATAAGTCGTGTGGGCCCAATGGAATTTCTCCTATCGTGTTGAAGACGTGTGCTCCGGAGTTGGCAGCGGTTTTAACGCGCCTTTTTCGTTTCTCCTACTCCCAAGGCGTCGTCCCGAACTCCTGGAAGGTAGCGTTTGTGCACCCGATCCCTAAAAAAGGTGACCGCCCTGACCCGTTGGACGCCTATAGCCATAACTCCTTTGTTCTCTAAGATTATGGAATCCATCATCATCATCATCAGCCTATCGCAGTCCACTGCTGGACATAGGCCTCTCCCATTGCACGCCACTTAGATCGATTTTGGGCTTCTCGCATCCAGCTCCTGCCAGCCATCTTGCGCAAATCGTCACTCCACCTGGCCTGTGGGCGTCCTACACTACGTTTGCCGAGACGCGGTCTCCACTCAAGAACTCGTTTTCCCCAACGGTTATCGGTTCTGCGGCTAATATGGCCAGCCCACTGCCACTTCAACTTGCTGATCCGGTACGCTATGTCGGTGACCTTAGTTCTCTGCCGGATCACCTCATTTCTGATGCGATCCCTTAGAGAAACGCCGAGCATAGCCCTTTCCATAGCACGTTGAGCGACTTTGAACTTGTGGACCAGCCGTACCGTAAGTGTCCACGTTTCAGCTCCGTATGTCATGACGGGTAGGACGCACTCATTAAAGACTTTCGTCTTAAGGCACTGTGGGATCGACGATGAGAAGACTCGACGTAGCTTCCCAAACGCTGCCCAACCCAACCGAATTCTTCTGTTCACCTCGTCCTCGAAGTTGTTTCTACCTAACTGCAATGTCTGCAATATGGAATCCATAATCAACAGGAACAGCAACTTGGATGATCACCACCTACTCAATGACCGACAATATGGTTTTCACCGGGGTCGCTCAGCTGGTGATCTTCTCGTCTTTCTTACACACCGGTGGGCACAGGCGATCGAGACCAAGGGAGAGGCTTGTGCGATTAGTTTGGACATAGCGAAGGCCTTTGATCGGGTCTGGCATAAGGCGCTTCTCTCGAAGCTCCCTTCCTTTGGACTTCCCAAGAAATTGTGTAATTGATTCACCAGCTTCCTTGCGGACAGAAGCATTAAGATCGTTGTCGACGGTGCATGCTCCGACTTGAAATTCGTAAATGCTGGTGTCCCGCAGGGCTGTGTGCACACTGTGACCCACACTGTTTCTTCTGCATATCAATGACATGTTGCAAACTAGTGACATCCATTGCTATGCAGATGATAGCACAGGAGATGCCCTTTATACCGGCCGCCCCAACATTTGTCGGGAACACGTCATCGAGAGTCGAAACAAACTTGTGTCTGAAATTGAAACTTCTTTAGCGGAGGTTTCAGATTGGGGCCGACTAAATCTAGTCCAGTTAAAAAAAAAAAGAAACAGGTATGTGCGTTCACCGCAAAAAAGATACCCTTTGTCATATCACCTCAGTTTGAGAGCACCTCCCTAACTGCCTCAGCCAGCATCGGAATCGACATATCGAGCGAAGTCCAGTTTCGGGGTCACTTAGAGGGTAAGGTCAAATTGGCCTGGAAGAAGCTCGGTGTACTGAACAGAGCGAGGCAGTATTTTACTCCGGTCCACCGCCTTCAGCTCTATAAGGCGCAAGTCCGGCCGCGTATGGAATACTGTTCTCATCTCTATGCAGGGACACCTCAGTACCAGCTTCTCCCTCTGGACCGCATCCAACGAAGAGCGTCTCGAATCGTCGATAGCCCAAACATCTCCGATCGGCTCGATCCCTTGGCGTTACGTAGAGATGTGGCTTCACTTTGCATTCTCTATCGCATATATCATGGAGAGTGCTTTGAGGAATTGTTCGGACTAATACCAGCCGCAAATTTCCGCCAGCGTTCCACACGTCAAAATTTTCATCCTCATTACCTGGATAGTTGGCGCTCCACTACTGTGCGCTTTTCGAGACACTTTTTGCCCCGCACAACCAATCTGTGGTCGTCTGAGGTATTTCCGGACCGATACGACCTTCGAACCTTCAAGACAAAAGCGTACTCCTTCCTAAAAGGCCGGCAACCCGTTTGTGACCGCAGACGTTCATGGGCGGCGATAGTCACTTACCATCAGGTGACCCGTCTGCTCGTCTGCCCCCTCTAACATAAAAAAATAAAAGGAATTTTGTTAATAGGCAAGCGCTTTTCAGTATTTAATAATACTTAAATTTCAGCTAGCATCCGACTGTCAACGGACACGCACAATTAAAATTGAAAGTATTTAAGTTAATGAAATCCATACTTACATATATATAGGAAGCCAAAACCTCTTTTCTAAGGAGAGGCCTATGTCCAGCAGTGGACTGTTAAAGGCTGTTGATGATGATGATGATACTTATATTATAAATGAGAAAGTAAATTTATTTGTTTGTTTACGCTTCCACGCGTAAACCATTAAACCGATTTTAAAAGTTCTTTCACCTATGAATAGCTACATAAGGGAGTAACATGGGCCACTTTTAAGGCGATAACCGACATAAAAGCGGGTGGAGTGGCGAGTAAAAGCTTAAAGAAAGCGGGCTTTTACAGCAACATACGTAACTGTAATTGATTAGTAAATACTAAGAAATAATGTGAATATCTCTTAAGAATCGGATATTGGAGTAATCGACTTCTTTGAACGCATTCCTATTCTTCAATTTGTCAGAACTGTCAAACGGTACCTCTTAGTTAGATGGACTGGTGGGTTAAGTGGACTATAATAACGTAGTTCATACAATAAATGAAACTAATAACATATTTCAAATTTATTAAATTAAATTTAAAAATTAATTACAACATTTTTAGGAAATAAGTAAGTTTACATTCACAAAAGTTGCCAGGAAAAGCAGTTGCCGAAGAAGTTGCCAATTAATTTTATGCTAATAAAACCGCTGTCAAAAGCTTGTGTTCAATGAAATGATTAACTATACCTACAAATTATATGATCTATAGTGGGCACAATTTTAGATCATTGATATATATATATATATATAGATACACTGTTGAAGCTGTGAAGGCATGGAAAAAAATAGTGGCCAACTGTTGGTCTCTATAATTGTATATCAAAGTATATATATAGTAGTAAAGGAAAAAGAGTTCACGGACGTTTCGCGAGGCACGAATGCTGTCACGCACACCAGCATACCACCTAGATATGTAAATGATCTAAGGATACAATCATAAAATGTGTAATTTTTATTGGACTGTAACTAGCTGCTTTTGGTCGAGTATTTCTATAACGCATTTGGATATATATACTATAAAGCATAGTGCATCATGATTCCAAGTTCTCAATAATTGATGCGTTAGTTGATCTGCTGCTGATCTGCTGAAATGTCGGCTCTGGAACGTCCCTTAATTTGTAACCAATACGCATAGCCAACCAGTATGCAGTACCCGAAAATAACTGAAACAGCAATAGTTTTGTTAGCTGGCTTATATCTAGTTAATTATAACAAACAACATTTACCCTATCATTTCACAGAGCATCCCGGATACTCAGCATGGTTTTGTAAGGGGTCGTTCCACTAACTCTAACCTTGCTCTATTCTGTGATTATGTATTGTGTGGAATGGAGTCCATTGGGCAAGTTAACACTATTTATACAGATTTTTAAAAGGCGTTTGACCGCGTTCATCATGAGATGTTACTTGCAAAATTATATAGATTAGGAATCCATGGAGACTTATTACGTTGGATAAGGTCGTACTTAACGAACCGCTCACAAGCTGTAACTGTGGGGGACTTTAAATCTAATTTCATCAATATCCCCTCTGGAGTACCGCAGGGGTCTCACCTCGGGCCTCTTCTCTATTGTGCTTACTTGTGTGACATAGACAAGTGTTTTGGTAATTCGAGGCATTTAATGTATGCTGTATGTGTGTAAGTACACATACAAATTCGGTGATAATGTTATCACTAGGGTAGATCATGTAAGAGACCTGGGGGTAGTGTTGGATTCTAAAATGCTTTTTTCTCGTCATATAGACACTATTACCAGTAAGGCAAGAAATCTGGGCTTCGTTATGCGTACGTGCGCTAAATTTAGGAATATCAACTGCCTTAAAACTGTTTACCGCACATACGTGCAAAGTGTACTTGACTATGGCAGTCCTGTTTGGTCTCCCCAATATGTTACATACACAGATAAAATTGAGAGAATTCAAAAACGTTTCGTAAGACATCTAAATTTTAAGAAAAGCAGACGACATTTATCATATCTTGACAACTACAAACACTATGATCAACTGCCTCTATCTAGTGTGTTACTAGACATGAGCTTTTTGTTCGCTACCATTCGAGGTGAAATTGATAGTATCGAACTTCTCTCTAATATTAGCTTGAATGCACCCGGGGCTCGTACTAGACATACGCGCCTGTTCAGTATTCCTCTGCACCGCACCAATTATGCTAAGAA